TGGAATTATTTTGAGGATGTATTGGAGTGAGGAAAGATTTAAGGCCAGGAGCTCAATTAGGAAACTATTTTAATGATCTAGGTTGAGAGGTGAGCTGTAGTTGTATGAATGGGGAGGAGAGGAAGTGTACAAAAGATGTTGAAGAGAAGGACATCACAAGATTTGGGCAGCTGGTTGGCTATGTGGGGCGAGCAGTACATAATGAGGGTGACATAAAGAATGACACTGGGATTGGGAGCCTAGGTGCCTGGAAGGCTAGTGGTGCCCTGGGCAGAAAGATAGCAATTCAGAAGAGGGATAGGTTTGGGGGTAAAGACAATGAGGTCTGTTTCAAACATGTTCATTTTAAGATGACATCCAATTTGAATCATCGTCCTAAAGGCAATTGGTGATGCAGGCCTGGAGGTCAGGACTAGGACTGGATATAGATATGGAAAGAAACTACATAGAAGCGATAATTGAATCTTGATTGTTAATGAGACCACCAAGTAAAGATAACAAATAAAAAAGAGAAGAGGGCCCAGGATAGAGCCTGAGGTAAACCCACAGTTAATGAGTGAAACATGGATAATGATTCAGCAAAAAAAGACCAATGGTCAGATGGGTAGAAAGAGACCGAAGAGAAAACTGTGTGCTAGGAAGGTCAAAAGGGAAGAGAATATCCAGGAATAGCTTGTAGTCAGCAATGTCAGATACTATAAGTGGTCAAGGCCTGAGAAAAGGCCATTAGACTTTGCAATTAAAAGATTATTGGCAACTTTGGAGAGAGGAGATTACATAGCTTATAAGAGAGAGAGAGAGAGGAAGAAGTGAAGGCAATTAATTTAGGTAATTTTCTCAAGGCATTTAGCTGAGAAAGGAAGGAGAGATATAACTAGCAGGGATGGCAGGATTTAGCAAAGATTTCTAATTTTTAAAGCTGGGGAAGACTTGGTGGTGTTTGTAAGCAGCTGGGAAGAAACTAGTATATAGGAAGGTATTGAAGATTAGAGATGAGAGAGGTGATAGTGGGGACAATCTTTTGGAGAACATGGAAGGACATAGGATTAAAGGGGTACATGAAGGGGATTTGACTTTGGCAAGGGGAGGAGTCACCTCATAATCATAGCCTGGATTAAAGGAGGAGACAGCAGAGAATAACAGAGAAATATGAGATGAAGTGTAGGGAATCACTTTCTTTTCACTGAAATATAAATAAAGATACTCAACTGAGAGGGAGGGGAGGGGATGCCATGGGAGGTTTGAAATAAAGTACTTGAATTGCCTAAGGTCACACAGGTAGCAAGTGGCATAGTTAGGACTTGTACTTAGGGTTTGGAGTTTTATACTCAATGGTCTGATCCATTATATCACATTGCCATATAGTCTGATTGTGCAGGGTTCCTAACATTGAATATCACAGATGCTCAGTAGAGGGCTCCTCCTTTGATCCATTGTAGTTATGGTTGGTGGAATCCAGCAGCCTCACTCTTAGTTATAGCTCTTCATGTTGTCCTATGTAATTCATTGCAGATGTGTTTGTCACTCTTTTTTACTACTCCTAAAACTACTAGCAAATGACATCCAATGTTGCCTTCTTATGGTTCCTCTTGCCAAATGGACCAGGGTAATTCTTCATTCCCTATACCAAATTATTCTTTGTCATGGGTAGCCATATTACCATTTCAGAAAGAAATATTCTAAAACTTCTACGAGTCCTTTCTGCTTATAACACAGAACAAAACAAAGAAATATAATTTGTGGAGCTTCTCTTTATGCCATTCCTGCCAATTTTTTTTTTTTTTTTTTGCCTCACAAAAATTCACCTAGGGATTGGGAACATTCTGCCACCCTCATCTCCAGTTGGGCCCCAGTGGATCTCCAGGGAGTAGCTATGTATTATTGCTCAAATTATCCTAGATGATAATCCACTACACCTAGGATGAAGGGGTTTGGGGGGAGGATTGCTATACTTTCCTGGTTACTTTGTTCACCAGGAAAGGAAAGGCAAAGGTAGTACAAGTCTTAAATATATAGTCACCTGGTTGCACATTGCCTATCTCTCATGTCTATATTCACTCTCCATAAATTTACTTCCATTGCTGGATCTGAGTAGCAAACTATTTCTGGAATGAGCCATCATTTGCTGGTTAATGCAAGAAGCTATGTGACCCAACATGTCTTCCTTTCCAGTTCATTTCTCCCCCAGCCCCTTGTAAGGGACAATTCTTAATTAGCAACAAGAAGGATATTAAGACTATTGCAAATGTATATGTGTATACATACACACATATATATAGATAGAGATATATACATATAAGTAGACCTCTCTCTCTCTCTCTGCCTCTTTTTCTCCCTCTCCTTCTTTTTCCTTTGTCCTTCATTACTCATCACTAATTTAATTCCATCCAATTTCTTTTTTACATGTCTACATACTCCTTTAATCTCCATCTTTCATTCTCCTTACAATTCTTGCTAAGTTGCTTCAGGAAAACATGTCTTCTGTCTCTTATCCCCTGTTTTTCTGCTATCTCTTTTCCCTTTTCTCCTCCCATTCTTCATTCTATCTGTGTAGCCAAAAGGGGCATGAATCATAACTGATAAATGTAAAATTATATTTGTGATACACCAGTATTATGGAAAAGAAAATCATTAAGTTCAAAGTAAATTTGGACATATAGAACCACTGACAACAGTAGACTCACTTAATGTTTTGTTTTCTTCTGTTTTTCATTGAAGGTGTACATTATTTTAACCATGTCTTGGTAGAAGAGGCATTTGTGGGCTATCCTTGGAACTTAAGCTAATTTTTATGACTTATTTTTTCACATTGGCAAATAGATCCCAAGTCCAAAATATCAGTCTGACCAATGCAATCTCTTTAAACTGGGGACTTCTTGTAATTACAAGTTCCTTATATGAAATTAAACGTCTCCATGATACTTGTATGTTGTCTTTATCTGCTGTATGTTGTCTTTATCTGCTAACCAGCAGAAGGGCATGCCTAACTTCCATAATGGGTGTGTGTGTGTGTGTGTGTGTGTGTGTGTGTGTAGGGAGAGATAAATGAGAGCCTCATTTCACTTGACAGTGTCTCTCAATAAAATGTAGTGATCTGTTTTAAGCTGCAAGATGTTAATGGAGATTAATAGGCCGCTTAGATTTTCATGATGGAAGATGATATTTGACTTCAGTTTTATTAAAACAGATTTGCTAATCCAAATTAAACACTGGCCATCTCAAGGTCAGTGGTAATGTGAAAAAAAAACCATGAAGCTTGTCTATAAATGTACTCAGAACAGATCAAAAATTCAAACATCTACCATTTTTCATTTTTTAAAGTCAAAACTTCTTTCAAGAGAAATGCTAATCTACTAAATACAGAATTCCTAAGAACATTTATTTTTTTGATGGCATATTAGAACACAGAACACAAGCATTAGGACTGACTTCATTTAAAAAACATTACATATATATGTATATATATACATATAATATACACATGTATATATACATATACATATGCATACATGTGTATGTGTGTGTGTGTGTGTGTGTGTGTGTGGGTATGGAAAAATCCAAACAAATCTAATTTTAGGCACAAACTCTAGATTTCCAAAGGCAGTCTGGAAAGAATATAAGCTTGAAAGTTCTATAGCTCTACAATTGTTGAATAAATACACGCTATAGTAGAAAAAGCTTTTGCTTGGGATTCAAGAACCCTGAGTTTTAGGCCTTCTTTTGCCATTAACTTACTCTGATGCCTTGAGCAAACAAGTTAACCTGTTAGGGGACTCAGTTTTCTGTAAATTTCTGTAATTAATTTCTGTAAATTAATAATTGGGATGGTTGATTTTCAGGATCCCTTAGCACTTTGTCATTCATTATAACATTTTTACTTTGTAAAATTAAATCAGTTATTTCCTACCAGATGTAATGAGGCTATCCCTCTTTCATTCAACATTCAATGAGCATCTTTTAAATGCCTTCTAGGTGGAAGGGCATAAGCATTTATATAGTGCCTATTTTATGCCAGGCACTGCACTAGCAAATGAGACTGTATTTGACCTCAGATCTTCCTTACTCTAGGCCCAGTGCTCTATCCTGTGCTATCTATCTATCTTCAAAGGCTACAGAGACAGAATGACAAAATCCTTACCCTCAATGAGTTTACATTTCACTGGGAAAATGAAACATTGACATCGCTGTGAGTGCAAGAAAATTTGAGGGGAGGTTGAGTACTAATAACTTCTTGGTAGATCAAGAAAGGCTTCAAATAGGAGACGTTGCCTGACTTAAGCCTTGAAAGAAAGGAGTGTATTCTAGATATTAGGAACAATCATGCAAAAACATAGGGAGGGGAAATGTAATCCTGAGTTCAGAGAATAACAAATCAGCCATTTTGCCTAGAACATAAAGTGAGTGAAGAGGAGTTATATGAAATAACTACAACTGAGTTTAAAAGTGTTTGAAATTTCTAATTTAATTTGCATTTTGTCCTAGAGCCAATAGTGAGCCACCAAAGATTCTTGAACAGGGTTGTGATATGGTCAGAACTGTGATATAGGAAGATAACATTGATAATTCCATAGAGAATGGGTTAGAGAGGGGAGAGATAAGGCAAAACCAACTAGGAAGCTGTTGTACTAGTCCAGATGTATGGTGATAAGGGCTTGACTTCCTAGGGTGGTTGCCTTGGGAATGGTGAGAAGAGGTTGGATGTGAGAGATGTTGGGGAGGTAGAATGCATACCTCTTGGCCATTGGCTAGATGGTGGAAATGATAGAAAGTACAAAATTGAACATACCTTTGAGGTTGGTAACCTGTAAGTATTGGAACGTTGGTTGTACCCTCATCAGAGGCACTTTAACAAAAGGAGAAAGTTGATGATATAGTATAGTAATCCTATTTCAGAAATTGTCTGGCTATTCCTTATTATCTGTGTTAAATATTGCATATAGATTCTGAATATTTTTCCTTTGACTAATTGAATTAACAGGGTTTTTTATGTTTTCTTTTAGATTTCATTAATCTGATCCAGGGTCCCCTGTGATTGCCAGCTGAAACAGAGGTAGGTAATCTTTATAGTTTAATCCATAATTAAATGGAAAATAACACAAATCACATAATTGGTCATTAGAAATTCTAAATATTGGAGGATTCTTTTCATAAGTGATAAAAAGCTGGGCTTAGGAATGAGAGGCAGAACCCTTCTTGGCTTATGACTGTTGCTGATAGATTTATACATTAAGGGTGTACATATGCTTATTTTCATAGCTCATAAATCCTCATACAGTAAATATTTTTGCTTTACATACTGTATTAACCATTATATATTGTAGTTATGAAAAGATCAGTTTTGGTGATAACATATATGGGAATATCTTCTGTTTTCTGTGAAGATAAAGATGTATACCTAGCATTCTAGGAGAAAGAAATTGAAAGATTGTTTACTGAAAGAGAAAACATCACCTTTTTGAAATTACCAAGTATCTTACATAGTTGTTTCTCTTTCTTATGTATGGAAGTTGTAGTCAGTCAGTTAGTAAACATTTATTAAGTACCTACTATGTACCAGGCAATGTGCTAAGCATTGGGAATACAAAACAAGGTAAAAGATAGTCCCCGCTATCTAAAAGAGGATACAACATGCAAACAACTATGTACAAACAAGCTATATACAAACATACATACATACATACATGCATATATATATATATACAGAGAGACAGAGAGACAGAGAGAGAGACAGAGAGAGACAGAGAGAGACAGAGAGAGACAGAGAGAGACAGAGAGAGAGAGGATAAATTGGAAATAAGCAGTAAAGAAAAGGCATAGAATTCAGAGATATTAGGAAAGACTTCCTGCAGAAACTGGGATTTTAGCTGGTTTGAACTTGCTCCATTTTCCTAGTTCTGAAAACAAGAACAAAAAATTTACCTGATCATGCTTTTCCCTTAGCATCCTTATTCCCAGAAGTCTCACAGGTAGCTAAGTAAATGAACCAGAATTTTCACCACCAGAATTCTGGCATAAATAGCCACCTGAACTGGAAGAGTAACTATAATGCCAGCTGACAATCTCAAGAAAATGCATTCTAACAAACCAACAAATAATCCCCAAAAGTAATGCTCCCTGAATCTGCAGGAGTCATTTGGTCTTATCTTGTAGCTTAAGGTTAGAAGCTATGCAAAACCTATTTTCTGGTAACCTAATTTCTGATAAGAAAGACTAGGATTGGAAAATAGCTTGTCAGTTGTAAGTTACAAATTCATTAGGAGATCTTTCCATTTGGATTACATGTTTTTCAAATGCCTCCTAAATGTAGGTTTTTTTGATTGGTGCTCTAGCCAAAGTATCTGAGCTCAATGAGCTGGAACAACATAGAAGACATCTGTGTGAATCTCCTTTAGGCTCAGTTTGTCACTTTCTTCTTTCTACTGAAGACACATTCAGATAAACTTTACCTCCAAATAAATTGCATTCCTATCAGCTAAAGGCAGACAAATGCCTTTAATACTTTAGAGATATGGTGTAGTGGAAAGAGGTATGGTCTTTTAGAGTCACGAGGGACCTTGGTTTAAATTTGACCCAATTAACACACATTAGCAGTATGACCATAGGCAAGTCATCACTTAACCCCTCTGAGCCTCAGTTTCATCATCTGTAATACAAGGATAATAATGCCTATGGTACTTGCCTTACGGGGTTGTTGTGAAGGTCACATGAGATGTATCAAATGCCAAGTATTTACAAACCTTAAATCATTTATTTAAATGTCAATTATTGTTGTCATTAATGAACACATTACCATGCATTCATACTCAAACCTCAGATTTGGACTCACAAGGCCTGGGTTTGAGTCCATACTCCTTAATTTACTAGCCTTGTATACGACCTTGAACAAGTCACTCAAACTCTAAGTTTTCTTGCCTGGAAAATAGGTATGATTGGAAGAACCAAATGCCCTGCTAGAAAATAAACATCTTGAGGGCAGGGACCATTTCATTTTCATTTTTGTTATCTATGGTATATTGCTTAGTGTCAGGTGCTTAACGAGTGATTATTGATTGATCCATATGATGAGGCAACCCACGTATGACAGAGAAGTAAACAGTGGCTTGACAAAGAAGTAAACAGTGGCTTGCCAAAGGTCACACAGCAAAATAGTGTCAGATCCATGGCTATAACTCAGTCACCAGACTCCTTAAACCAGGACTCCTTCTATTATACCAAGCTGCCCTTTGCATACAGCTTGCTCCTTTGCCAGATGCAAGCAGAGCCTAGGGGTAAAATTCTTGAAGAACCATAACTAAGTTTTATTTCTGTTTACTCCATCTGTATGCATTATGTAAACTATCCTTATGGACAAAAAGTCTTTCAAGGTTTCCTCTTTTGCCTTTATTCCTGTGAATCAGGAAATCAAAACTGTGTAGTATAAATGAAATAAAAACCTTAAAGATGTTGACAAAGCTCAGAAGTTTGAATCCCATGTTTGAGCAGATGATATACGGTACTGCCACATTTAAGCCACATATCTAAGGGCAATCAATTGAGCTTTTCTTTCAGAGTAGAAGGCAGTCACCACAGGAGCTCTTTCTTGTTGGAACATTAATTTAGTAGCTGCTTTTGTTAACATGGCCGCTTAGCTCCTCCTGGCTGACCACTTCCCATGGAAAAAGAACCAAAGGGGACATTTTAGAAACATGAATAAAAATAAAAGAATGAAGGTTTACATGTTATGAAAATCATAATACCAACAGTATGGGCTCAGCAATGGACTGTGCTTTCTGAGAAGAATCCTAGCAGAGTATGGGGGGGAGCGGTTATCACCAGTAGCTGGCTCCCCACTGATGAACTATTTGGCTTGATATTCCATGAAATAAAAGCAATATACAAAATGGTACTTAATCTCATGGTCCCTCTTTCTAATTCTGCACTGATAGTAGCATAATGGTAGAGTTTAGGGGTAATGGGTCTTAAGAATGACATTACTTTATGTGATCTATAAACATTAACTAAGCTGTTCTTTCCTTATATACAGTTCTTCTTGAGGGCAGGTACTGTTTTTATTTTTCATTTATATCATTAACAAGTAGTGACACACCTGGCACATAGATAGCAGTTGATTGATTGATTAGCCATTGGTATTTTAAATGTGAAATCCTTGTCCAATGATTGAGTGGTCATATAACTGGAGAAAATGAATTATATCAATCTGGACATGTTCTCAGAAAAATGTAGGCCTGGAAACAAAAAAGTGGACTTAATCATATGATAAGAATGAAAAGTAACTGACAGACAGCTCACATATTCCTTTCATATTCACTCAATGTCCAGAGAACCAGAAGAAAACTCTCATGCCATTTCGTGAACCTTCTATTTTGGATTTTTAGGGAAACATGGACATGAATTGCATAGAATGATTGGCCATTCACTGAGTATGCTGCAGTCTGCAGCACTGAAGGTGGTACACATATCAGTGACATCACAGATCCACCGGCATAATGGACGATAACAATAAAAATACATGACAAGTGTTCCTTTACCTCATTCTTTTCCTAACTCTAGCCAACATTGTCACACTCAAACCTGTATATATGATCTTAAACAGCTATATGGAGTGTGGTAATATGAAGCAGTGCCTTCCAGGTATGGTCAGGGGCATGTGACCAACCCCATTCCTTTCCATTACTGACTCATCTGCTTATTGCTTCTCTCTCTATAGGTTCCAAGGTAGTCTTGTGGATTCTGGAATATTCTGGAATATTCTGGAATATTCTCAGAAATTACCAAATTTGCTTGGCCCCTGCCATATAGTAAAATCAGAGACATCTCACTTATGGTGGAAGAGTTTTTCTATCTTTATTTTGAACTGTAGGCTGATTGACAGATTTAGATGAAATTGTTAATGGCCATATAATATATTAGTAGTCTTAAGCAATAGAAAAACACATTCAAATAGAGAGAAGGCTATGATAGAGATTATATACCTCTTTCTCCCTATACAAGACTATAAATCAGTCTGAAAGGGACATCCAAAGAGACTGAGATTTAAACTCCAGAAAAGCCTAATAAATTAAAAAAAGTTGCCATTGAAGGGACTTTATGGGTCTATTTTCACAGCTTCCAGTTCAGCCAGGTTTTAGCTTTAGCCGTTCTCTTGCCACGGACCTGTCTTCTCTCCCCTAGCTCTCCAATCTATGTACTCATTTGCCCACATTTCCCATTTACCTCTCTATCTACCCTGCCTGGCATCTCAAATTTTTTGAGGAAGGTCTTACGAATTTTCCTTAATGCCTGTGAACAGCCTGTACCATGGGTTGGGAACCTGAGGCCTTGAGGCTAGTGCAACACTTTAACTAAATCCAATAAAAGGATTTGTTCTGTAAAGTTTGGATTCAAAGAGCTGCACCTGAGGACCTAGAAGGTCACATGTGGCTTCCAGGCCACAAGTTCCCCACCATTGGCCTAACCTAAGGATACTCTATTACATCACCCTAGTAATCATCCCCAAATTTCTGTGATTCTGGAGAGGTCTTCCAAAATTTCAGTAAACCCATGTCTCAGAAACCTGGGGCTATATACATTTACTAAGACTGCAACAGTGTAGGTTTTCCTAGATATAGTATCATTTTGGAAGACATACCAATTTAAAAAACGTCAAAGGCATTGCAGAGAGAGGAACATGATGAAACCTGAGTTTTAGCCAGGGCAACCCTAAAACAAAACCATCTGCCCAAATATGGACAGGCAGTTCCTGCACAAGAAACATTTTCTTTTGAGTACACAGATGGGAATGAAATGGCCACTTAATTAAATGAGATAATCAGTTATCTAAATCATATTTTAGAAGGCCAGTTAGAAGCAGCAGTGTTTTCCATTAACTTATCAGAAACAACCAGAGGCTAAGCCCAGAGTATGATTTGTAGTTAGAATGTTCCCAGTATCTTTATCTCAATAGTATCTATGTTTTTCAGAAGAAATATTTCCTTTTATACAGAACACTCATCGCAAAATTTGATCAATTGCTTGCTATGATCAGTGTTAACTCTTAGAAACAAGTTTTGG